GTTGTAAAACTACTAAAACTTCCTTTTCTCAAGTCTAATAGAGAAAGGTTCTGCTGCTCTCTTCTTTTTTTTTCTCTCTGGTTTGGTGCTGGGCCCTACGCTTTCTGCAGCGATGGAAGTGGTCTACATCAGCATTCTTCAGTAGGGCAGCCAGTAGCCACATATGACATGTTGGCACTTGAAACATAGCTAGTGCAACTGATGAACTGAATTTCAAATTTTATTTAACTGAAATTTAATTGAAATAGCCACATGTTGCTGGTGGCGACCATATTGGAAGCCCAGCTCTAGTGTTCCTTCAGCACAGACTGAATTCTGAGGACTTCACTTTTTTTCCTAATGGGTCTTCATTCTCTTACTGGGAGCAGGAATAATCCTCTTTTGATGTTACTGGTTGATTTTGTACTAACAAAGGTATTTTCTTTTATTACAACTTTAACTTATAATCTATGAGTTATAATCATAAACTAAAAATAAATTTGATTTTTTGTGAGAATGCCAAGTTGGACATCTAAATCCATAGTCCTCACACAATAGGGGATAGTATGTCTTTGCTCCTCTTAGGTTGGGTCATATACTCTCTGGTAGACCTGCTTTCCAGATGTCTACATGTCTATCTGGCAAAGAGCTTGGGCTTGAGTTTGTATTCCACAGTCTCACCATAGCTTCTTCTTTCTCTCAGCCATAGTTCTCTCCTGGAGTTGGTAGGTTTCCTACTTCAGAGTGCATTTGGATTACTTGTCTTTCTGCTAACTTGACCTTTGAAGTTTCTATTTCTGAAGCAGTGTAGTACCTGATATCAGAGTGGTTGCTACATACATTTTGTTTGTATTGAATAAATGAAAAAAACTATTTTATTTTAATAAATGCCCCTCCTTACTCACAAAGTTTCCTTTCTTTTTCATATCTGTATACTGGGAGAAGGACTAAAAACTTATTTGAAAAAACATTGAAAAGAAGAGGCATTTGGTGATTTAAAATAAATATTAATACATCATTTCTTTCTCTCTCCCCCTCCTTCCCACCCTCTCTGCCTGCCTGCCTGCCTCCCTCCCTCCCTCCCCTCCTTTCTCATTTTTCTTTCTTGGATGTCAAGTACAGCATTGGGAATATAATCAATAATATTGTAATAAGTATGTAGGTATCAGATGGGTGCTGGACTTATGGTAGGGTCACTTCATAAATTATATAAATGCCTAACCACTATGCTATATATCTGAAATTAATATGATATTTAATGTCAACTGTATTTCAAAAATAAAAATATTAAAAATAAAGTAAATGGCAGGATACTTTCTACTACAGGGTGTCCCAAAAAATGTATATACACTTTGAATAATTTATTAATTCCAGTGGGTTAAATCTGATAAGAAAGAAACATCAATTGAGCTATCAGCTGTTGAAGTGTTTATATATTTTTTGGGATAATTTGTATACTTAGATAATTATCATTTTTATGAATCTTTACCTTCTAAAAACTTTTTGCATATTTTTATAAATAATTTGTCATTTACAAATGTTTAGTCAGCTGTAAATTAAATTATTCAATCTAAAAAGAGGGAATTTTTATAAAGCATATTATTTAGTAGACATCATCCTAGGTTGATAAATACTTTCATTCAGTGAAAGTATTTATTATTTTGCCGCTGTCAGATGACCAAAGAATGAACTGAAGCAGGTGAGAGTTAGGATAATGAGTCAATTATCTATAATGTAAGTGCCCACAGATATGTGTCAAATAAAAAAAAATGTTTTACGTGAAGATTCTGAAAACATGATTGATGACTGGTTCTAAAGTCTTGGGAGAATGTAAGCTTTAAAATGTCTAGAGACAAATTGAGAAAGTACAATTAACATCATACACAAATTTAAGGTTTCTTCTTGCAAAGCATTCAACCCATTGCCCAAGAAAAAGCTTTCATCTTGTAAGATGAAAGAATTAAATTGAAACTAGAACACTGAAGGCTACTACGGAAGCATGCATTTATTTGGGCATATGGTAGCAATCCACTAAACACAGTTACAGTCCATTGGAGAATAACCAAAACAGATTTTCCAGGCAAAGATTCTGCCAGATCAGGTTGCTTTTTACTATGGAAAAAGAAAGATGCAGAGAAGTACATATACTAATGTTGACTTTTTAAATTTCAAAGTCACTTTAATATCTTTTATAAAAGTATTGTCTTCTTCTTTATAAATAGTTCTTCAGGTGCTAAGTGCCATAGATTTCCATGATCAATTTTATTATTTCTATTCAGTGAAAAGAGTTAATTGCATTGAAAAAGGCATTTGCATGCTCTTCAATACAATGAGTGTGTAACTGGAAATCAAAGGAATGTCTGGTTTGTTATTGATTAAAGAGTTAACTACAGACATTGAAGATGCAGGATCAAATAATAAAATAAGAGGTCAGGGTATGTGCATACGTGTTTTGCACACAGAGTGTCAAACACTTCTTGATTTACTAAGGACCTCTGATTTCTACTCTGGTTTATAATGGTCTTTTTTAAAAAAATTATACTTAAAAATACTGGCAAGAAATTGCATCAGATCAGTCAAATGTACTTATGGCAAAATAGTTTTTAACTTTCAGAGAGGTTTTCAGTTAATATAATTGAAATTATTTAGTTCTGCTCTGTGACGGGTAAAATCATTATTTATCAGGGATAGGTAATTACATATTTGGCCTAAAATTAATCAATATGAACACAGAAAAGCTAGCGCTCAAGCAGAATTGGAATCTCATTAAAGAACAATTTTATACAGCATAGGGAATAGAGTCAATAGTGTTGTAATAACTATGCATGGTGTCAGGTGGGTAGTAGGCCTGTCAGATTGATCACTTTGTAAGGTATATAAATGTCTAAGCACTGTGTTTTACATCTGAAACTAATATAATAATGTATGTCAACTATAATTAAAAACTAACTTTTAAAAAGATAAATATGAAAAAGAGGCGACTCAAAGAAAGGAACAATTTTGTAAAGTGAGGTCAATTATAGCACCTATGGAATTAATAGAAAAGATTGTAAATGCAAGAGAATAAAATAAAATTTTTAATCATACAATTCTCAAAGAACTATAAAATACCATAAACTTCTTTTTGTATTTAAATTTTATTTTTTAAATTATTTTATACCTAGCTCTTTTGAATAAGACATATAATTTTAATTCTTTTTCTATTAGCCAGTAGACAGTGGAACTAAAAATAGATTACAGGACAATTGGCTTTTTGTATGTGACTGAATGGTGGTTCATACTATTTTAGAGAAATTTTTCTTTTAAACAATAATATTGCCCAATGAACTACAGTCATGATTTTATGAACTGGAGATGAGCTAGAGATCAATAACTTATAGTTCTGAAAAGATTATGAACTTTTTAAACAAAGAAACGATATTGTTGATCTGTTTCTGGGAGTACCACCTAATGTGGTCAATGGGGAAATATCTGTTTGAATTATCTAGAACAGATAATTCAGCTTTAAGACAGAGCCTCAAGTAGATCAGATGTCCAAAAAAAGAAGTCACTGGTAGGTCTGAGGGACAGTAGTGGCCGTGTCTAATATCTCTCAGTAAAAAAGCAGCTTTGTGGAAGGGGAAATCCTAATGCCAATGTCAAGGTGAGAATTGCTGTCTGAGAGGATATGAAACCTGATCAACAGAGGTTTCTTGCACCTGGTGTTGCCCCAAATCTTTTCTCATCCTAAATCCTTAGTCTTTGCAAACTATTGCGGAACAAGGCTTACGTCTGTCTCTATCAGCCTTGCCCTTTTGATCTGAAAGGTCAAGGTAATTCCATTTCACGCAGATTAGTGCTTAAGTCCACATTCACAGTCTGTCCACTGGGGTGAAGCAGGATTGACTAAATGCTGATTCCTTGAGTCTCTGCATTTGTTTCTGATGGATCTGTCTTTTCAAATCCAGCCCATGTGCTGTGGGCTGGAGACTGGATACGTGGGTTTTCTCCAAGACCCTTATGGGAACAATGAACAAATTTGTTCTTTGCATTTCTATTTTCAAAGGCCTTGGCTGTTATTGGAGCCTTCATCACATAAAAATGTATTTCCTAAACCTGGTTTCCTGATTGTGAAGTTCATAATTTAAGTATCTGAATGTACTCTTCTGTGTGAAAAATAGAAATTATTATTAAAACAAAGACTTCCCTTAAAGCAGACTATAAACTACTACAATCAGTGATTTCTGCTCAGTTGTTTTCATTCACAGTGGACATTTGTCACTGGACATCAGTCAGCCTTAACCCAAATAATGTTCTGTCCAAGTAATGCCTTATTGTTTTCTAAGTTTTGATGTAAATGTTGGTGATGGTCTGCTTTCAGTAGTTTATTTGGTTACAAAAGAAATCAGGACATTAGCAATTTCCTTTCCTAAAAAAATTAATTAGTTTTTGTTGGGAAGAAAAGTAATATGGGCCTATTGTAAATATTGTTGTTACAAAAATTCATAAAAAGTAGGTGTTTACTGTGTTCTTACTAGTAACCATAGCTAGTATACATCTTTCTAAACATTGTTTATACATATAATTTCTTTCTTCTCTATCCCTCTCTTCATGTATATAGATGAAATGAGAAAATATTATTCTGAATGTGCATATATACTTCACATAAACTACAGAAACTTGGTTTTACAATTTTACATTATGTTGTGCACATTCTTCTTAAAAGCCTCATGTTTACGCTTTTGTGGTATGGAGGTGTACATTATAATTTTGATAGATAGTACCAACATGTACTCTGAATTCAAAATAACTTCCTTACAGGAAATTATATCTATAATATATATTATTAAGAAACATGGTCAATAGTATTATAATAACTATAATTTTATTATTAGTTTTATTTTTTTTTTTACAAAGAGTTGGCTTCTTTCTTAGACATGAACATTTAGTCGGTCATACAAGATTATTAGGCTAAGAGAAAGTATATACTTTTTTGGATGCATTTCAAACATCTAAATGTGGTCAGCATTATCTCTCAACAGGGCCCATTTGGAGGCCAGTGCTGAGAAGTGGAACCGGTTGCTGATGTCCCTGGAAGAACTGATCAAATGGCTGAATATGAAAGATGAAGAGCTTCAACAACAAATGCCTATTGGAGGGGATGTTCCAGCCTTACAGCTCCAATATGATCATTGTAAAGTAAGTTGACCACATATGGTGGGTATCTTTTAAAATTAATTTTGATTTTGGTGAAATAAATACTCAAAATAAAATTCTAGATAAATATTAGTTGAACCAAGTATCACAGATTCCCCCTCACCTCCGCTTCTAATTTTAGTATTTATACATTTATTTTAAATTGTATCAATTGCTTCCATTTGTTTCAAATTAATTTTTCTTTTCATATTTAACTAAATATGAAGAGAAAAATGTAATGTTTAAAAAACATTACAGACATCTAAAGCATAATAGTTTTTTAGGTAATTACAAAATTTATCTAACTTTCCAATAGTTTTAAAATATTAATATCTTATATTGGGGATATTTTTACTATATGTTAATCTTAAATTTAAAAGTCATAGAATCATAAAGAATTACAAACTGTTATAATAAGTGAACATGAAAAAAATAAGGACTTGTAGTAGTATGAAAATAGAATGGATTTAGGTCTTATAGCAAATGATAGTAGTATTTAAGATCATTTTATATTTTCTTTTTCTGAAGTTAGATTTTTTTTTGAGTTACATTTTCATTCTGCTCAAATTTCTGTCTCTATGCAAATTTGTACTTCTACACTGATAAGCAGATATGCTGAAATGTTATCAACTGACAGATTAATTCTTAGATCCTTGTATTAAGTTCTTTGCCTTATTAACTTTTTATTCATTTATTTATTCCTTCATACTAATTTCTCACATTACATATCAGCTTGTTCTACTATATATTTTATTCTCTTCACATGCAATGCAAGTTCTCATTCTAAATATGTACATTTTAATGTGATGTCAGAATGCTGTTCCCATTTAAAAAATGACAAACACCAACATATGCATCTTTAAAGGAAGGTGTCATCTATGTAATATATTGCTTCAATGCAAAATGATAAGACCATGAGATTTATTTTATTTTGAAGCCTTCTGATGAGGTTATTCAAATTACCATTTGGGCAAACTTTCTCTTTCTACTTAAAAAGAGAATATGATAGAGAAATAACTCAAACATGAATTATTTATTTCTGAAATTTTCCATTTAATATTTTCAAACTGCAGTTGACTCCAGTTAAAGTGAAACCCTGGAAAGTGAAACAGTGGATAAGGGAGGACTACTGTAATGGTTTTATAAAGGTGGGGACTGATTGAACATGCTTCCTTGCTGATGGGAATGATCCTGTAAAGTGGGAAAAGTCAGTGACGCAGCGGGGAGGGTACCATCCAGGAACAGTGACGGGTGGGTCCAATGTACAAGTGGAGCAGTTTGTTTTAGGTAGAAGGGCAAAGAGTTCATCCATTTTAACAGGTAACTGTCTGAATTACTTTATTTTGAACCACACAGTACTATTTAGAGAAGTAGAATAAATTTGACATAATCTCTCAATGCTCAATTAGAACATCTAGAGATTATGAGATGAATGGGTTTCACTTCATTTTCATACCAATGTGACTATTAAGTTATGTGGGGCCGTTCATCAGAACTCAAGCACCCTTTCTCCAATAGAGTGCATGATTGAGTTTAGAAAAGGAAACCACTAAGAATCATTGAAAGTGTATGGTTCAGGTAAAATTTCTTGTTGGTTTGTCCATTCCCTTAGGAATCTTCTGACCTTTGTTTAAGCCAATGTAATTCTTATATTCAAATCTCGTAAGAGTCAGGACATTAGGGCCTTAAACTGAATTACCAAGATACACAAGCAAACTTGCTTATTAAAATAATGAACTTGAACATTATCTTTAAAATAGCAACACCCCACCATAAAATTTAATGTGTGTGTGTGTGCGTTTCCCCTGGTAAAGCCATCTGAGACTCCTCCTGCAAACCTGTAACTTCAAGGTCTTGCTGTGTTATGAGGCTAGTTAATGTGAGAAATTGACCTCTTGGTAAAATTGCTTAAAATTAATTTCCAAGTCCCCCTCCTACTTTGCCACCTATGTTGACTTCCTTCTCATCAAACATCAAATGCATGGCCCCATACAGTTAGTAAAGAGAAGTAGCAGTTCTCTAAGTGAGCCTGCACCTGCCTGCCATACTCCCATTTAGTTGTGTGCAGTCTAGTCTGTCACCTGAACCTGATAGGTATAATCGGAACCTCACCCCAAAGGGTTTATCCAAGTCTGGAGGGAGAATCAAAGTAGTCTAATAGCTGTTACTCTGGTGGTGAAATTAACAGTGGACCACAAGAAATAGAGGTCTGTAAAACCAAGTGGCATAGTCCACCCCTGTATTCAGCCCATTCCTAACAAACTAACTGCCTCTGAACATCTTTAGCCCAGAGACAATTTCATGTATCTCACAGTTTATTTCTTTATTCAGGAAACTTCTGTGTTACACCTGATGTTTGCCAGATACATTGCTAGATACTGGGCATGCATCAGTTTATGACTGTTTTTGCTGTCACAGATGTCACCCTCTAGCAGCAGAGATACGTTTGAAAAAAAATAATGACAGTAGATATCAAAAGCGCTGTAATGTGAGCATGAACACAAGCCAGGGAGGCACAGATGAATCGTGATTATTTGTACTTGGGAAGATTGGGTAGGGCTCCATAGAGCAAGAGGCCTTTGAGCTAGAAAGACACTGGAATAAGAATACATTACAGATTTTTACAAAAACTTCTGGCATAAATCCTCCAAATTTGCCACGGTATGAATTGGAGTATGCAATAGAGGTGTTGCTCATCTCCCTTTTTGATTACATGCAGAATAAGACTGAACATATTTGCTGGATAAAGAAATACATTTATGTATGCATGTATTTTCAAAATGGAAGAAATAATATTGTTTTATCACTATAAGAAGCTGGAAGTTTTCTATCTTAGTTTTAGCATTCATACTTAGTATTCTGATTGAGGCATCATTTTTTTATGCCAATGGGATGGAACCAAAATAAATTTATATATTATATGTTCATTTAGGGACATTGACCAAAATTTCTAAAGCACTGTGAAGGGAGATTTTAAAAAACATTTCATCTGCATACCAATGAAAAGTAAGCCTGTTTTCTTCCCCTTTCTCATGTGGTTTTATTAGTGCTATCGAATTTAATGACTCTTCAGCCCCTTTTTTGCTGTCGTTTTATGACTTCAGATCCATATATGCTGATTTAGCTTTGAAAGCAACTTGGGGGAAAAAGGAAATTGCATTCTAACAGATTCTCCTTACGTTGATATCAATTATTTTTTCCTGCTTATATTCTTCAATGAACAGTGCTTTTGTGAAACCTAAAGCTAAGGAAGCCTGACGTATCAGCAACATTTCTGTTCTAGGTCAGATGCCTTGTGTCTAGGGACAGCTTCATGGGTGTGTCCCATGCAGTCAAGGTCATGCAGGGCTTTGCTCTTAGAAGGGCCCTGCACTTGGCTTCCTGCTCTGCTGCCTCCATCTTTAAATTCTGAGTACTGTGGGGCCAGGCACCCGTGATTTCACTTCTCACAGGGCTCTGCAGGTTATATAGCCAGACCTGCTTGCATCGAGACGGAAAACATTAATGTCTGTGTTTTGGTATATATAAACCAACACTTTTACAATAATGAAAGCCTCTTAACAATTACTTTATGCACCCTCTTTCCCCTCCAGTAAGTAAGCCATCCTGAGCCCCTTACATGCCCCTCATTGTGACTTGTGATATCTGCTTGTTATTGTCAGCTGGGTTGTGATTAGTGGTTTCTTTTCGGTCCTCCCTTTCCTGTTGACTCACCCACTGTACTTCTGTTCTGTCTCTTTACTTGACTTTTAGGTCACTGCTCTTTCCTCATATTCTTCCCACCTCACTGGTAGCTCCTTCTCAGTCTCTTTTACTGGTTCCTCCTTTTCCCCTCAAGGGATGCACCAGGGGTCAGGCTGTGCCAACTTCATTTCTGAACTCATCTGGTCTCCTGGTTTTCCACAACATCTATATGCCAACCGTTCCCAAATTTATATCTGTTCACGTGCATCTCTACTTGGGAATCTGATAGACATCTCCAACTTGAAATGTCCATACTGAATTCCTGAACTTACCCCTCAAATTTCTCCTATCCAGTCTTCCCGATTTCAGCGGATAGAATTCTGTTCCAGTTGTTAGGTAAAAAATAATAATTACTTCAATATTGTCTTTCATATTCAGGTTGTTAGGAAATCTTGGTTCTATGTTCAAAATATAGAATCTGAATCTGACTGCCTATAACAAGTTCTTTGTAGCTACAGTTATCAGTTTGTGTGTATGTTTTTTTGTTTTTTTAGCATACAGTCAGGGTATTCCCATTTAAATAAATCAGAAGTCTTTGGTGGCTCTCTAATTCAGAATAAAAGCCATAGTCCTCAAAATGTTTTTTTATAATATATATATTTTCAGAGAGGAAGGGAGAGGGGGAGAGAGAGAGAGAGAGAGAGAGAGAGAGACATTAATGATGAGAATCATTGATTGGCTGCCTCCTGCATGCCTCCTACTGGGGATCCAGCCGGCAACCCGGGCATGTGGCATGTTTCCTGATGGGGAATCAAACCGCATGACCTCCTGGTTCATAGTTTAATGCTCAACTGCCAAGCCACACTGGCAGGGCCTCAAAATAGTTAAGATACTATATGATCTGACCTACTTCCTGTTCACACCTTGCTCACCTCATTTTTTCTCTTTTATCTTCTTACAACCTAGTTTCAGCCACTCTGGTCTCTTGTATGCCTTCAGTCACAGCTGTCTTTTTTGCCTAGAATTCTCTTTGCATAATATCCACATGGTTAACTCCACCGTTTTCAAATATTTGCTCTATGACACTTTCCCAATGAATCCTATCCATACTTCTCGAAATTGTAACCCCCATCTCAGCATTTGTAATCTCTTTTACCCTATTCTATTTTTTTCTTTTTCTACAGTATTTATCATCTTCTTATATAATTATTTATTTTCTGTTGTCTCTTTGTCTATGCCTGGGAGTTTAGATGCCCAAGAAATATTTGTTGAATGTTGAATGAATGAAATATACCCAAAGATAACACGTCCTTTGGTAT